CCATATAAGCACAGATATCTTTACTAGTTAGCATTTTAAGAGTTGGTTTGAAATAATTTTGTTAATTTATGAAATTACTTAGTTTTCACGCTTCTATCATGGAAAACCAGGAATGAGAAAAAATAGTGCCTGAAATATATTTTTTTGCTATCAACATATAGGAAAATCTATTTAAGGCCAAATAACTTTAAAAACTTCCTTTGGTGTTTTGATTTCCATGTTCCTCATATTTATCTCCACCTTCGATCCCATCTGTAGCTGTGGCTCCTACACAGATTCACTGACTGTCCCACCCCAGGCACAAGGACCTTCGCTCCTGACTTCACTTACCCTCAGCCTATTGCTCTGTCTAACTGTCATTTGGCTTCAGGGCTTTTTCCTTACGGCAATGCCCTTCCAGGTCCAGCTTTGTATGCCGGTGTGTTTTTCCCTCCCAGCGTTTCTTTACAAGCTAGCAACCCATCTCTGCCGGCTTAACTTCCTAGATTTTTCTATTGCTTTTTCATGTGATACTGCCTGACTAGCAGCACTCAGTTCTTCTGACCAGTTTGAGGTAGAAATTAATTGTAACGAGTAAATATTTTTTTTTTCCCATGTGAGAATGCATGCTTGTTTGAACATTCAATTTGATGTGAACCTACACTGCATTTCCCCTGAGGAAAATTCCCTTGGAATGGGACAAGCAGGCCCGAGTCAATGGCTAGCTGAGGGATCCAGACAGGTCGCTCCACCCAGCTGGGCTTTTGGAAAGTGAACTAGAGTGAAGAGAGGCTCCAGGCGTAGCATGAACAGCAGGGGAAGGAGAAGCGAGCTATCACAAAGCCTTTAAGTTATTTATAGAGGGTGTAGCTGTGCTGACCATGCGCAGACTTCAATGCAGGTTTTGATACTGTCCCCCATAACATACTCATAGGTAAACTCAAGAAATGTAGGACAGGTGACTGGACCATGAGGTGGATTGTGAATTGGCTCAGCAACAGAGTTCAGAAGGTTGTGATCAGCGGCACAGAGTCACGTTGGAGGCCTGTGGCCAGTGGTGTTCCCCAGGGATCAGTGCTGGGTCCAGTTTTGTTCAATATCTTCATCAACGACCTGGATGAGGGGACAGTGCACCCTCGGCAAGTTCGCTGATGATGCGAAACTGGGAGGAGTGGCTGACACACAGGAAGGCTGTGCTGCCATCCAACGAGATCTGGACAGGCTGGAGAGCTGGGCAAAGGGGAACCTCATGAAGTTCAGTAAGAACAAGTGTAGAGTCCTGCATCTGGGGAGGAATAACACCAGGCATCAGTTCAGATTAGCAGACCTCCTGCTGGAAAGCAGCCCCATGGAGAAAGACCTTGGAGTCCTAGTGGACAGTGAGTTGTCCATGGGACGGCAATGAGCCCTTGTGGCCAAGAGGGCCAATGAGATCATGGGGTGCGTTAAGGAAAGTGTGTCCAGCAGGGAGGTTCTCCTCGACCTCTACTCTGCCCTGGTGAGACCATACCTGCAATATTGTGTCCGGTTTTGGGCGCCCCAGTTCGAGAGAGACAGGGACCTACTGGAGAGAGTCCAACGGAGAGCTATGAGGATAATTAAGGGACTTGAACATCTCTCCTATGAAGAGAGACTGAGAGAACTGGGGCTGTTTAGTCTTGAAAAGAGAAGGCTGAGAGGGGATCTTATTAACATATACAAATATCTCAGGGGTGGGTGTCAAAGGGAAGAAGACAATCTTTTCTCAGTGGTGCCCAGGAACAGAACAAGAAATAATGTGTTTATGTTAGAACATAGGAAGTTCCACCTCGACATGAGGAGAAGCTTCTTTACCGTGAGGGTGACACTGGCACAGGCTGCCCAGAGAGGTTGTGGAATCTCCTTCTCTGCAGACTTTCAAAACCCACCTGGAAGTGTTCCTGTGTGGCTGCCGTAGGGGATCCTGCTCTGGCAGGGGGGGTGGACTAGATGATCTCTAGAGGGCCCTTCCAATACCTAACATTCTATGATTCTATGATTCTATGATTCTATGATTCTATGATTTAAGGCCCTACACCTCCTTCCCATCTCAGCTGAGGAGTATATGATGACTTTGATGTAGTAGATGTAGATCAAACAGGTAATTTGTTGTTCAAGAAATGGCCTCATTTGATTTTATTCACCTTAAATTGGAACAAAAGTTGTATTTTTGAAACTCCTACCAACTGGCATTTTGAGGGGAGAAAAAAACCACTTTTGTCTGAAGTGAGCTAGAATGCCTAATTTTAAAAAAGCTTCCGTTTTGACTTGGCAACATTATGTTTTTGATGTGTAATTTATGCTGTAATGTGAAACACCTTTCTTAATTAAATGGAATTACTAAATCTAAAAATTTAAGCAGGCTATTTGGAAGTGGTTGGCAAGTCCAGATTTCACCTTGCCATGGCTAGCAGTGAGGATGGTTCTCTCTCATGTTGGCGTTGTGTTGTCTGGAAGCTGCTAGAATGGAGTGCCCTGACTCTGCATCCCCTTTTCACCCCATGTCTTCTCAGTCTGAAGACTATCTCCCTACAGATGCCAGAACAACTACATCTTGTGTACTAAATTCAGTGACTCCTGGTATAATTCCAAATTAATTGCTTTATGCTTCAAATGATAATGCAGCAATTGAGAAGTTGAATAATACTGCGGAATAAAAGGAGTGTTTCTTACATTCAGCAGGCAGATTTAAAGCAAAATACTAAAC